TTATTCCTAAAGGATAGTTTATAATGTGATGAGATATATGTTAACACATTTTAATATATTCTAACAAACTCTATATTCAAACTCCTACTCATAGAAAACAAAGCAAAATATTATCATCACTCATCAGTATTTGACATCATATTAATCCAACAAGTTAATAATTCCACTATGAAAAAGACAATAATTAAATGAAAAGTGAAATATAACATAATTAGGCTTCTTTTACTAATGTAGACACATACAAACAACATTGTTCTATGTAAAAGCATTCAGAAGTCTTTGCCTTTAAATTCCAAGCCTATAAAACTCTACTATTTGCACAGAAAGAAAAGAAACAGAAGTGGTAATTCAAACTTTTACATTGTTTCTTTTATCTAATATTTTCCTCTCGATAAATTTGGAAAAATAATTAGATATTTACTTTTAATTTTAGATCTCATATTTGATTAACGAGTGAAATTTCGTAAGAACATACATCATAATCAATATATGCTCAGAAGGTGTGACTAGTAATTGATTCACATGCAATGCTATAACACTAACCTATAAATCAAAACCACCTACCTAGTGTTGGACTCAAGAATTAAACACAATGAATACAGGATAAAAATTGAAATAATCAAATTTTTAAGACAGATTTTTGTACAAACATTGTGCTTCTCCTTAACAAGGATTTTTCTCCTCCAAAAATACAACGAATAACAATCTAACTCCTTATTTTTATTTTACAAGTTTGTAGCACAAGTTATATATCACTATAATTGTCACAATTATAACATATAATTAGAGATGTTAAATGGGTTGGACTATCTAGACCAACTTGACTTATACGGACCAAATAATATTTTAGGACCAAATAATATTTTAGGCTACATTGACTTGATCTAACCTATATTTTTTTAGGTTGTCATTTCGTGGCCAACTTAGCTGATACCAAATTAACCTAATTAAAGAACACATTTAAAAAAGATTAAACATATTTTTTTACAATGAAAAAAGAGAGTTATAACATGATATAAAAATTATAACATGATTAAAAGGATTAGTAACAATGCTAGACTCTCCTTTTGTATTAGGTAGAGTTTTCATTGTATCTAAATCATCCTCCATACTATCAAAAATATTATCAACATTCATGATTGTAATATTCAAAATTAAATAAACTTATTAATTCAATTTATAGTTTCCACAATGAATAATAAAGCAGTAATAAGCCATTTTCACTTCACTTTCTCCCCTGCTTAATGAAATAATGAATATTAGTAGTTGTTGATATACCTCTATTCAAAGTGAAAATATCACTTACACACACCTCAACATGATTGGGGTAGGCTTTCAAGACGTTGTTGATGATGAGCTAAACGACTCTTACAACTTGTTAAGGAGAAACTGTCCATATTTGAATTGAATTGACCAAGTTTTTTATTTCGTCGATTCAATTTGCCGCAAAATATTACGACAATTTTTATTTGTGTAAATGCGGAAGAAAATTAAAGGTAGTAGCAATATGTTGTGTTAATTTGCATATATATGTCAGAACTCGAAAAATGTCGATCTTGTCCACAGATGGTTTGACTTCTATTTGAAAATTTCATCGATGTAGGAATGCTTGAAGATCAGACTAATACTTTACCAATAGTTTTTTGAAAAAGATTCCTAGGAGTTGTCACTGACATTTTACCCAAAATGTCAAAAAAAGGAAAAGATTTTTGAAAATCAATAATGACCTTAATAGTCAGAATTAGGTTTAGGGTCGATTACGTATAGGGAAGATATTAGGCACCCTACGACGCCTTAATTTGGTACCCTATGACGATTTTAGCATAATAATGAACAATAATTTAAATGTTTACCCCTTTTATTAATTATTTACATATTAGATATCTACATGGTGAATGACGTTCTTATGATAATATAATATAAATAAAACAATTAAATAAATAATGAAGGGAAAAGAAAGATTGGTGAAAATACTTCTACAACAAACTTTTATAGAATAATCTTCCAAATGTGATACACAGATGCATTTTGGCAACCTTTCGCTCTACAAAAGTCTAACAAACACTAAAAAAAGTACAAAGAGAGAAGAGAGAGATTCTACTTGGACTAGGTCAACTGAGCAGTGTGTTTGGAAATGTGTGCGTTGGGCACATATTTATAGGCACCTGAAGGCACAAAATGACCGTTCTAGGGGCTGTTCCAAATTAGGGTTTTAGGCTAATTTTTAGATTGGGAGCGAGCCGTTCTGGTTTGGGAATGAGTCGTTCTTAACTAGGATTACACATTATTTTTTATAGGTCAGAACAACCCATTATGGATTGGGAACAAGTCATTCACAACTAGGGTTTTAAGCTAAATTTTTGGTTTGGAACAACTTGTTCCACGCCTAAAACCCTACCTTCGAGCTTCTGAGCCTTTTGTTGCTGTTCTGGTATGTTTTGATGCTCTATTAGGCCTTCAAGGACCGCTCATGTCGTTCTAACAGTCTTTTGTCCTTAGTCTTAACAGTCTAGACGAAATCTGGTGTTAATAGTATGTATGAATAAGTGAGTATTTTTTATTATTATTTTAAAAATATAGATCCATTTTCAAATGTGCATTTATGTAAATGTATTGTGAGATGTGATGTATTTACATGATATTTTATTTTTAATTTTAATATTTGGGTGTTAATTTGCTATCACTTGTTAGTACTTATTAATATTTTTTTTTAAATTATGCATGTGCTTGAGAAGATTATTCAATTAAATTGAGAAAGTTTCTCTTGTAGATTAAAAAATCAAGACAACATGGTATTTTTAGTAAACATTTTTTAATAGAATGATATAAAAATGATTACATTTGTCCATGTATTTTTATGAAAAATGATTAAATATATTTTTAGTTTTTCAATTTTTGTCAATTTTTATTTTCAATTCTTGAACAAATTTCATTTGATTTTGGTTTCTGAAATTTTTCTTCGAAAACAATTTTTTTATGCTAGTGGCCAATGTTAATAGAAGAAAATTTTCTAGGACCAAAGATGAAAATCGATAAAAGTTCAAAAACTAAAATTAGTCAACAAAATTAATCAAGGACTAAAAAAGTTTGACAAAATTTCAATAAGCTAAAACATATTTATTTCTTTATTTAAAAATTGAATTTCCATAATGACTTTATGTAAATGACATAAATACTATAAAAAAAAATCCTAAAAAGTTTCCAAAAGTTATAGATAAAATTTTAAAAACTGATGAGAGACATAGAAAGGAGAATGCTTTGTCAAGGATTTACAAATTAAATATTTAAATAATGAAATATTTGCACGTTAAAAAAGTTATAAAATGTATAAAAGGTTATATATATATATATATATATATATATATATATTCAATT